GCATCCCCGCCTGTGGCTCCATCCCCTCGCCCGCCTGTGGAGCGTGTCCCAACACCATGATTCACACCTTTGCCTGAGCCTGACCGGCCAAGCCAAAAGACGGGATAGCTGCGGCTGCTACAGCACCACACAGAAGGAACAAGGCTAGATGAAGATCTCACTGGTAGAAACTGACAATGCTATGGCAAGAAATTCACATGTACACACACATACATACATCCCATACTCTAATTGCTCAAACCCAGAGACTTGCAACATCAGGTGGTTCCACAGATGCTTCCATTTTGCTCGGTATCTGTGGCAAGTATACAGCCTATGACTTATTTTACTTTTGAGAGGACAGCCTCTCATGCTGTAGCAAAATCTCCAAGTCAGTTAAGAAATTAATGTCTTGTATTAGTTTTGTTCATCCAGTAACTCTTTTCCTCCGGCACTCACTCATTCATGAAAAGCATCTTGAAGAATTTCAGTGGTGGGTAACCAAGTACCCTAAAAATATTAACTGGAAAAAGAAAAAAAAAATTAACAGAAAACTACAAAGTTTTTCAGATCTGACCTCCATATGCAGGATGGGCCTCTGTAATAGTCTTTAGCTGCAGAGGAAAGACATCAGATACTATTTTCTCTGCTTCTCATATACATAATATTAATAATTTACAAGCAATCAACCAAAACCCTAAGGACCTTTAAGTCAGAAATATGAAGCAGTAATAGAAAAAATAGGTCAGGAGATTAGCATTTTCAATTGATTTTTCCAGACATTTAAAAATCAGTCAGTTGTGTAATACTGACCTCGTTATATTCTTAAGGAGATTTATAAACTAGGAATGAGCTGTATGAAGCTAACACTTTTATGCCTGTTTTATGTTCAGTTTTCTCAGCTAGGGAAAAGTCTACCAGCATCATGGAGAAACAATACCTATTATCACGACTGATCAGTTTCTCATCAACAGAGAAAATACAAAGGGCAATGAAAGCAGGACCCATGCCATGTGTTCTCTTTCAAGTGTCCTGCAATCATACCTCTGGAAGAACAGGGGAAGCCCTGAGGCTCTTCACTGATGTCAGAACTGAAAACCAGAAACATTTCTGTCCAGCAGGATTGATCTGAATTGTGACCTCATGTTGTACACCCATGTCCTGGAGTATACTGTGTGGAGGAACGGAGGAAAATGCACAGATCAACACACACCACACCCTCATCACCCAAAAGAGAATTAGAAGGGCACAAATTTTCCATGTTGATTTCAGACCTTCCCAGTCACCATGGACCTGCATGGTGACCCCCAGACTATGTCTGGCACTTGCTAATCCCACCAGTCCTGATCCTGCTCATGACTTGAGGATTGTCTTATGTGCTTGATGTTCCACCTGCTTCCTTGTCATTTTTGCTTGATAACCTGGGCTCTGGGCTCTCTCCTACACCTGTCTGCCTTGCTCACTGGCTGAGGGTGGTGGGACAGGCCCTGGCTAGCAAGGCCCTACCCTGCTGGCCACAGCATCCCTCCTAGCTCCTGGATTCTCTCCCTCTTGAAGCAACTGGCACTTGTGTCACTAAGAAAGAACCCCACTTGTGAGCATATCCACAATGCTGAAATGATCTCAAAGGAAAAATTTGTCTTATATTTGCCATAGGTATTTTTAGGGCCTGTTTGTGAACACAACATTTGTGAATTCAAGAGAACACCCAAGAAACCATGGATGTAGTTTTCTATCAGGCAGTCTTCTCAACCACCAGCTTGCCCTTCACCATCACCCAAATACAGGTATGTGGAGTACAGTTCATTAATGCAAAGTCCAGGATAACAACCCCCTGTGTCAAAGCATGCAGTAACTTCTTCCTTGAGGATGTCTTTCTTTGGATGCTCTAAACAACCTGGAAATTCTGTACTTGGTGCTATTCAGTCATTCTGAGGCTGTTCATTCCCACAGACTGGAGCCA